GATCAAATCCTGGAATTTGTGGGCTGTTGAACATATGAGCTTCCAGTGAGCAGTGTCTTTTGGTTTATGAATGGAGTTTCCATCCCTTTGATACCTCTGATGCATATATTTGGCCCATATGCTTTTATTTTCCATGAACTGCCACCATGTTCTAAGATGAATTGAGGTTTGGAAGTCTGTCAATGATCTTACAATGAGACCTCCCTCCGATCCGGGCCTGCAGACTGTAGGCCAATTAGCCCAATGGTATTTATTCCTTCCTCCTGTTCTACCCCAAAAAAAGCTGGCCATATGCCTTTGTAGGATTTGGATTACCTTGGCTGGTAGTTTGGAAATGGATATTTGATGGATGGGTATAGATGACAGGACATAATTGATTAAGATGAGTCGCCCTCTCTGATTTAATTGCTTCTTGTTCCAGGAATGAAGTCTGGTTTCAAATGTTCGAATGATTGGGAGACAATGTTGAAGCCTGGTGGTCCCCCTGATGGAGAAATGCTCCGAGGTAAGTAGTTGGGAGGTTGGACCCTTCTTGTACTCTATGTCTCTATAGAACTCCTGCTCTACAGTCTAAACAACTTAAACATACATATAATTTATGTAAGCTACCAGTTTACTTTTCACCACATATATGTAAACTAACAGCTTACTTGTATACTTATTCTCCTAGCTACCATGAAGTAAACTATCCATGTATATAAATAAACTAACTGCTTAGTTGTATACTTCTTCTCCTAGCTACCTTGTAAACTATTCATGTAAACTACCAGTATATTTTTTCACCGTGTCTTTTTTTTTCACCATTTTTTCAAATATATATTTCTTCTTGTACTCGGTAGAACTCTTGTTTGTATGTTACAGTTAGTCAGTTCTATAGTCTAAACAACTTAAACATATATGTAAAGTAGTTGATACTTGTATTTTTTTTTACCATGTATATGATTCAGCTACTTGTATTTTTTTTACCATGTATATATTTCAGCTACTTCTATTTTTTACCAAGTATAGTTGTATTCATACTACCAGTCCATACTATCAAACTACCATTTTTCTTTACCATGTACACATACTATGATACTACCGGTCCATTTTCTTTATTTTTTCAGCATGTAGTTGTTATATACTACTCCCTCCGTCCCATTTATATTGTCCCATTTTACCTTTTTGAGAAGTCCCACTTAAATTGTCTCATACCATATTTGGCAAAGTTTGTGTGGTTCTAAATCATTCTTACTTTATTCTTACTTTATCAATTAATATCAATCACACAAACTCACTTTTCTTAATAACTGTGCCACCCTCTTCCGGAACAATATAAATGGGACGAAGGTAGTATATAGAACTCATAAATGGAAGTATATTGTATATATAATATCTACCTTCTGTATTTTTAACAGGACATGGAAGGTGGAACTTCAGCCACAAGTTCTGAAGCTGCTAGATCAACAAAAGTTTTGGTTAATCGTAGTGCTGAAAAATGGGACTTCTTTAATTTAATTTTTGGAGGTTGGTATCTACTTTTGCTGTCAACCTTCATGGTTTTATAATATTGATTTTTTATGCATTTTGTTCTATTTTGGTAAAGGTATACTTACAATTCTTTTTAACTGCTTGTTTTCTAACTGCAGTCTGAAGACTAGGATTGAGTCTAATTTTGGGTGCTTTTTATTGTTATTTTCCAGGGCTGATCGTACCTCAACTATTGAAGATAATGAGTCTCCCAAGTCATATATTCCATATAATTTAATAAAGTTATTGTTTGTCATTTTGTATAAAAATTTTAGGCTCACAACCAAAGCAGTGGTGGATAATATAGATCTTACAACCAGTTTTGTATCAACTACATTTAAATAGTGTTTTCTTTAAATTATGCTTGTCAGTATTGGATATTATCCATTATTTTATTTAGCTCGGTGGGCAGTGGCTGCTTCGAAAAACTGTGATTGATAACTTTGATAGTCTTTTAGAAATCAAATGTAAAATTTGTAAATATATGTTTACCATGTTGGGTATAAAGATAGCGTTTGTTAAACCAATGTAAATGTATATGAACTACTATAGTGGCACATCTTCTATAGCGGTTTGAAACGCTATTGTTGACTTATTTATGATAGCGTTTGTAAAATGCTATATAAAGCCGTAGATCTACTATAGCATGTCCAGACATAGCGTTTCATAAAACGCTATGGAGTGATAGGATAGCGTTTTTTAGTCGCCATAGATGACAATAGTTGTTGTAGTGTATATTATGTTTATGAACACTGGATTCTTATAATAGAATTGCTAAAGGTAGGGATTATTCTTTTGAATTTCACCTAAATTTTAAAAATAAAAAATAGAGTATACAAATGTTCGACATCATACTAGTCGTCTTGTTGGGCATTCTTTGATGAAGACTACCTACCTCTTAATATATGATAAGGATGCATTCTCACTTCTTTGCGAAAGTTTATGAATCTAGCTTGATAATTAAATGAAAATATTGTTAGGATGTAATTCAACAATTCCTAATCATTTTCATTTTCATTTACCCCTGTGACGCAAAGGCTCCCACCTACGATGGGGTAAGGGGGTCGGATGTATGAAGTCTTACCCCTGTACTAAAGCACAAATAGACCGTTTCCGGATGACCCATAGTGAAAATCGTGTCCAAAATTGCATGGACTGGTTGCTGCTTCATAACAAAGAAGCACAGACAGTTTAGTGAGACATTTGGCTTTATTCCATCATATTCTCAAGCCAAAAAATAATGAATCTTTGGCTCCATTGCAAATGATGGAAAATAATTCAACAATTCCAAATATTATGTGAAATTCTAAAAAATTCTAGAACTCTGTGGAGATGAATAGAACTCTCTAGAATAGTGTGGAGTAATCTAGATGTGTGTTGAATGTGTGGAGTCTTCTAGAATACTCTGATCTCTAGAGACATGTTGAAATCTCTAAAAAATGTGTGGAAGGTTGGAAAGTAGTCTAGAGTATTCTAAATAAGTGTGGAGTCATCTTGATTCTACATGAAGATCATGGAAGCTTGTGGAGTGTTCTTGAAAGAATCTACAATGTGGAGAGTTAGGTGAAAGATTCTAGAGAAGGAACATCAACAAAAAGTCGACGCAAAAGAGCAAAAGTTGACGCAAAAAACGTATTTGCGTCAACATGTCGATGACGCAAAAGGGTTGACGCAAAAGACTGGACGCAAATAATGTTTTTGCGTCGACAATGCATGACGCAATTAATAAAATATTATTCGCGTCGACATATGGACAGAAAAGATCTTCCGGAAGTAATCATGCATAATGTTGACGCAAAAAAGTGAGGATTTATTTGCGTCCAAAAGTCGACGCAAATAATACCATTTTTTGCGTCCACATGTCGACGCCAAAGCCTATCAGTCAGTTTTTTTAAAATACATTATTTGCGTCGACATTGTGACGCAAATAGCACTGTACAGGTCTGAAATTACACCACATTACCTATTGCTATTCATACAAAACTTTTATTAATAAACCAATAGTACCACAATCTGTCCAAACACAACCAATGTCAACAACACATAAATTCATTCAATATCCATAGTAAAAGTGAGTTATCCTACAACGGAGTTTCATTAAATCGTTACCAACAACATCACAAAATGTAAACATAAATAAATTCATGTTCATCTTAACCAAGTAAAAAGCATATTCAACTCCATGTTATCAATCTTGATCATCTTCATCGAGATTCTGATCAGGTTGGTTAGCACTTGATGTAGAAGGAACATCATTTGCGGAGTTATGTGAAGGAAGTTGAAAGCCAAGAATAAATTGTTGTAGGGCACGAAGCATCAACTCCTGATTTGCTTGCATCAACTCTTGATTTGCCTTCAATTCACTTATTTGAACATCCCGGTGGTCTTGGAACGTTGAAGTAGCGCCATCTTCCACTCGTCGAGATGCACCCTTTGATAGGGTAGGACCCACTCCGCTTTGGCGTCCGCGATATCTTCTCAAGTTCCGGTGCATAATATCAATCTCATTTATTGAAGATGATGACCCTGTTTGTCCTAGATTTGTTTGGTACTCTTCACTCATTTGAGTCTATCAAATTACAATTCATATAGTTACATATCATTAGGATTAGAATTAATAAAATGTTTTTTAATATACTTACATATTTTTCATGTGCTTCTTTTGTTCTCCATTCGCCACTACGAGTCAAACGTTGATCTTTCCAATTTTCAAGAGCTGAGTACTGCTCACCAGTTTCTGGATCATCCTGTTTAATATTCATTATAATTGTCAATACCTAAAATAACATGAATGATCAATAAATAACATTAACATTAAATTAGTAGCTTGAAATTTTAACATTGGTCGATCAGTAATCACTACCACAACAATAAGGATTGTACTACTTAATATAATCTTTGAAAAACCTGCAAAACTAAAGCAGAAATATATGACTAAGCGATATACATAGTGCTTATTAAATATATACTAGAGATAAACTACATATAAATTAAGGCCTTAGAGACACCCCGAAACAAAACTATACTACAAAAAAAAACACAATGAATCATACAAAAAATCCGCACCATACCTAAAAAATGACACCCAATTAAACTACAATATAACATAAAAACTGCCAAGGAAATTACAACATACATTCATATGTCATCAAACACCAATAACAAATATATGAAATCACCCAATCACTGCCACATATCACAACTCAAAATGAAATAACAAAGACTCATTTCTTACTTTTTCGTGCATGTATTGAGCATATGATTTTCTCCCATGTCCACTTTTATCATCACTTGCTTCTCTATTTTGTAGGTTTTTCGAAGAAATTTCCTGTAAATATGAAACTAAGTCAGAAATTAGAACTTTAATTGTATAATAAAAAAGGAAATATACTCATGCTAAACCTTGAACTTTGTAGAATTGAATCTCTCGCAACACTTCTGCCATTGTTCATCACTTCGTACATTTATAGGTCTCTTAACTTGCATTCCTCCTTTGTTCTTAAAATACACAGATAAATCACTTTTCCAATCGTTGTAGGACTCTCGAGCATCTCGAATCAATACTTCATCAAAAAGCTTGTCATTATCGCACTCAAACCAGTCCTACAGTATGTAAAACATGATCACTATTAGAAATCAATTAATTTAAATCAATAAACCGAACATGATCACCATTAGAAATAAATAAATTTAAATCAATAAACCCAACAAGAAAAAAGACAAGTTTTTCATAATTACCAACATCCTATGTCGAATCATAGCTTTTTGACAGGCTGGAACATCGTCCCACTTATCGTAGAACGGATCACAACAGTCCCGAGTGTGTATGCCTATTGCGCTTGACCACCAAGAAGCTTTTGGCCCTACTGCCTTCCATGTTTTCCTTGCCGAATCAAATTGAACTTTGATCTTTCCATCTTTAGCTACGGCTAACATAATGTTGTTTCCCTTGGCTGAACCTCTCCCTTTCCGCTTTGTTTTCTGTGTTTCTGAACCTATAAAATTCATTAAACAAAATATAAGTTAGTATTGATCATGAATAATTTATATTTTGAAAAGTGTTAACAATTTTGATTGCATTACATCATACCTGACTCACACGAAGATGGCACTCTATGGGGATCTCGTGGAGGTTGGGATCCTCCACTTGAACCCGCACATGTAGCTATTGTTTCTGCCATAAAGTACACCTATATATGTGCATACTTATGTAGGGATAATTTAAATGTAAATCAAAAATCACCGGAAACCAATAACCATCAAAATATATGTAAAACCATTAAGTCATTTAGTCACGTGAAAAAACATCTTGATGACCGCTTTCGCGGCGTTGTAGTAAAACGGAGTCTAACCTTTCGGTTTTTCCCCGAGTATCGTGTCTCTCAAGAAATGGCGGAGGAGCTTCTTGATTTTAAGTCCAGTCACAGGTTATCGCAAATTATTGGAAGCTTTCCAAATTAGGTTATCGCAAATTATTGGAAGCTTTCCAAATTAAACTTTTGATTGATTTCCTAAACTACTTTTTGGAAAGGAAAGTAAATTAAATTGTGCAAATACTAATGATGGCTCAAAAATAAACTAAAGAAAAAATATAATATTAAACTTAAATGGATTGATGCAAATAAGGGCAATGAACTGAGTAATTAGAAATGGATATATTCTTGGACCTAGTAATTAGGGAAATTAAAATTAAAATTGGACTAATAATTTCTTTTCTCATAGACAAGAATAGAAACTATTTTTATTAATTTATCCTATTTCTAGGTGTCATTAATGGTTCACAATGGTTGGCTTGAATTAAATTCTAATCTCATAGACAAGGTAGAAATAATTCTCCAATATTTTAATTAATAAAAATAGCCAAATTCATTAACTAGTTAAACTCATTATTTAAGCAATTGAATTTATCTCTCATAGACAAGATGTAAATCCCTTTCATTAAATTATCCTATTTCTAGGCCTTATTAATGTTCTTGAATATGGTTGGCTTAAATTATTTTCTAATCTCATAGACAAGTTAGAAATAATTTTCCAAGAATTTAATTAATGAAAATGGCTAACAATTATTAATTACTATTTCATCATTTCAAACAACTAGTCCAAATTATTAATTTTAATCCCTAATTTTAGGTCAACAAGTCAATCCATATTCCTTTAGTCAATTCATGCCCAAAACAAATTTAGCTAATAAACATCATTTTTTGATTTAACAATACAATGAATAAATTCAACATTAACAAGGAATCAAGCATGTATAATAGCGAAAATTAAAGAAAAATAAGATTCTACCAAAATAAATTTGTAGAACTAAAATATCACCTTCAGGAATTTTTCCCGAATTTTATAACCTAAAATCCAATTTTAACAACTACTTGATAATTTTCCCAATATTAACTAGAAAATACAAAAAAACAACTACAAATATTCTAAATTCGTTCTGAATTTTATATTGACTACTGCGAGTGATATTACTGTGAATTTAACTGGAATTAGGACAGAAACTAATTTTTTGCCTTTTTTGAGCATTTAATTTAATTTATGCAATAATAACAACTAAATGCCGGAATTAATTAAAATTTACTTCTACTTCGTAAAAATTAACTTTGTTTTGATAAACAACTACCTTGAGGCTAGTAAACAACTATATAATTAGTTGGAATGGATTTAATGTCAACAACTATTTTATTCAAATTTAAGAAGAAAATGCGAAATAGTGGAATAATTTTCTGAAAATTTTAGAAGCACAGATAGAAAAAACTAAGTACAGATTCAGATTCTACTCATTGAAAGGATGAAAATACATATAAAGAACTTACAATTTGAAGTTGAAGGTGCAACAATGGTGAAAATCCGAGCTTTGAGGAGGAAGAAGACGCCCTTTTTTATCTGATTTGGGCTTGAAATTGGTGTGTTTGAGATGAGGAAAAAGCTTGCTATTTATAGCCAAAATTTTCTCGCAGGCGCCCAAGAGGGCGGCCGCCCTTCGTCCAAATCTGGCCGCCTTCCGTCTTGTCGCCGGCAGCTTAAATCGCACCGGTCTCCGTCAGCCGCAGGCGGTCCAGAAGGCGGCCGCCTGCCGCTTCTGTCTGGCCGCCTGCCGCTTCTGTCTGGCCGCCTGCCGTCGAATCGCACCGGCCGGTGGTTAGCTTCGTCCCCTTGTGCCGCAGGCGGCCGCCCTCCGCCTGGTGTGCGGCATTTACTGGTTCGGGTCAAAGTCAAAGGTTGACTTTTAATTTTACCGTAGGCGGCCAACCAGGCGGCCATTTTGGGCGCCTATTTGGGTGCCTTCTGCCAAATTTGTCTGGTAATTCCGGCGTTTCCTGCTCTCCAAGATTGTCTTCTGGATCACCTTGATAAAATGCTTACTTCTTCCGGTATGACTTCATTTGTTACTCAAATTGACTCATTTTGTGCTCAATTGACCCGAAATTCCGGCAAACATATTATGAATGTGGTTTTCACCTAATTTCATGAAACTTGAACCAAAATATCTAAAACATGTCTTTTCTTTCTATTTTCAATCAAAAATCACTTAAATTTGATAAGAAAAATAAGTACAAAAATGGACTTATCACATCTAAACAAATAAAGTGCATACAAATGATCCAAACATAATTAACAATAAAAACCCTCGTATTTAATCATCGTCACTACTAATATATTTGAGGCTCTCATCATCATCATCATCATCATCATCATCAACAACAACATCATCAGCATTGCCATCATCATCATCATCATCATCATCGTATTCATTACCACTACCATAACTTAAAAACTCACTTTCACCATCTTCATCATACTCATCTTCTTCGTTGATAGTATAACCACCTTGAAGATTCTCATATAGAGTAATCACATCAGGTGAAGCGACATTTGGTGAAACATTTGTGTCATTCCATAACATAGAGTCTAAGTCTGGTACTTCAACATCCAAATCAATACCCGAAGACTCAACATCTTGGACAATACACATATTATCTTCTTGATCCGGGGGAAAGTCCCAAATGTGTCTATGCCCAAAATGTTCAACAACTCTCCATTGTGGGCCATTGTAAAGGTCCTCAACATAAAACACTTGCTCTGCTTGAGATGCAAGAATAAAAGGCTCATTTTCATACCAAAAATCCTTGATGCATATGCTCATCTTATTCTTGTACTCTTTCGTTCCCTTTCTTTTCCCTCGCCGGTCTAAGCTTGTGTTGTACCACTTACATTTGAAAAGAACAACAGAATTGTTACCTCCGTAACTCAATACGTAAATGTCCTCTAATTGTCCATAAAACACTTCATCATCTGACCCCTTCACAGAAATTCCACTATTTTGAGTTGATCGGTTCATATCCCGATGGTGAGTCAAAAACTTTACTCCATTAACTATACATCCAGGATAACTTTTGAACGTCGGACTAGAACGAAAAAGAAAGTGAAACCAATTGTTTGTTCACTTCCGGCGTTGAACACTCTTGGAGGGAAAAGATCTAAACAGATAAACATTTATTAGTTATCAATGAAATTGCACCAAAAAAAATAATATTAATGAAATTATGGATATACCTTCCTTTGAAACCATTCTGGAAACTCCTTGAGTTGAATTTCATCCAAAGAACAGATGGTGTTCCGCAAACTAATCACCTCTTTGTGCTCACTGTTCATCATGTAATTATAATGTGAATAAAGAAACAACATATAATTAGTACGCAAGTATAAATACTTTTAATCACTTACTCAATATACTGTTGGACTTCTGGGCAAATCTGCAAAATGTACCACTCTGCTCTATTTCGCATAGCATAGTCCAGAGTTATTAGAGACATTTTTCCGATAGGACGGGTGCGAGATTGAAAGATAGATAAACTTCCTGCCGTGCTAACATCACTTTCAACCCAATTCCTCTCTAATCTGTTGAATCTCGTCTCAATGTCACTCAAATACATTGAGCAAAATGACAATGCTTCATTTGCAATGTAAGCTTCAGCAATGGACCCTTCTGGACGTGCACGGTTTCTAACATACTTCTTCAATGAACCAAGAAACCGTTCAATTGCATACTGATGTGAGTTTTCGCGCACTTAAAATTGTTGTAGAAAAATGGTGAAAAGTACGAGTATCGTCTCCACATGAACAGACAAAAGGGAAATAAAGATTAACTAAACTTAGCGATTAAAAAGAAATAAATAAAATAAAAGTGCAATTGTGCGAGATTGGTTGATTGATTAAACTAAAACTAATGCTAATGAGCGAATAAAAAGATTTGGTTTTCCTTAATTAACGACGAAGGGAACAGGAATTGATTCCGGGGTTAACCAGATTTCTGGCAGAACAGGTCTAATTACATGAATTTAATTTAATTGAGCCTAGCCAATCATTACTAAGTTCTTACCGCTCTCGCGGCGTAGAGTACAATAATTTAGGGGTCCAGGCTGATCTCTCATGCGACAAGATCCTAAATTATTGCCAAAACGAACGAGCTTACGGCCCCTTAATCGCTACTAATCTCTTAGCGAACGATTAAGTGTGTGTGAATGTGTCCTAGTACAAATTAGATCTCTCTTAATTTATTCTATAAGCAATTGTAATTCTAGTGGCCATCTAGGTTACAAGAGATATCAGTTAAATTATTCATACACAAATTAAACGGCATTCATGCAATTAAACCGACAAGAATCTAGCCATACATCATGATTAACCCCTTCATCAACCCCAAATCCCTAATTAAACTACTCACGCCTCATAATTGACGAATCAAAAGAATTGGGATGAATAGAAATAATTGTCATTAATTAAAGAATTGAACTTGCAAAGAATCCCAGGTTCTTGGATTAAACAACGTAAAAACGCAGGTAAAACTCGTCCCTAGGCCTCTCTCCAAAGTTCGTAACCCTCAAAAGTGGGTATGGAGGCCTTATTTATAGAAAACAATGAATTTGGGTCGAATTAGGACAAATCGCGGCCAGGCATGGTGCCAGGCACGGCCGTGCCTGCGACTGTGCCTGCGGAACATGCGCGTTTAAAAAATGCAGACACGATCGTGCCTGCACCGGACACGATCGTGTCTGGCTGCCAGTAGCTCCGCGTCAATTCAGATGGCAGGCACGATCGTGCCTGCCCTAGGCACGGCCGTGCCTGACCATTTCTTCATCGTTTTTCTTCGTTTCTCGTTCCGAATGCTCCCGAATGCCTACGAGGTCGATCCAAATGCTCTTTCTTCACCAGAATTTCGTCGTGAATCTCCCGGTGGCCTCCAAATCTTCCAAATCTCTCTCGAATGCCTTCAAATCCTTCCCGAATGTCTCTCAAGCGCCGATTGCCGGATTCTAACTTCTTCAAATCAACTCCAAATGCAATGAAACTCGATCCAACGCCTGTAAAACACAACTTGAGCCAAAATTGAGACTTGCAACGCCTTGAAGCCAGGAAAATCATCAAAATCCGACCCGAACACGCATCAAATGCGTGTCTAAATACGGACTTATCAGACTCCCCCACACTTAAGCTTTTGCTTGTCCTCAAGCAAATCGAACAACGGGACTTACGATAATCACCACACGGAATTTAAAATAGTTAGCGTACACACGTAGTTAACAGGATATTCACAGGACAGACAATTTAAATCAAGAAAATTCTTCCCTAAACTACACCTTTGTACTCAAGCTAAACTATTTGACACAATTATTCACAACATCCTCAAAGTAATGACAGCATACACAAATAAGCTAGCTACTGATCAGAAGGACTTGTGAATGTGATGGTGAATGGATAATAATGATAGTAGTCCCTTTATTTTTAGAGATAGGAATATCCTAACAAAGACTTAATGTATTTAGGAACTTCAGGGTTATTCTTAGGGACAGGGAACTCAGTAGGCCACAAATTAGGAACAATCATTTAAACCTATGCAAAGAGTAGACATGGTGTACAACTAAGCTAAACCGTCTCGGCACATTTGTGCTTTAACGTATACTTGAAGTACGCGGAGGACTATAGCTAATTTTTCAATAGCCTCCAAGTTCATTAATTTAGTTTAGTTTTCCTTGTCATGTTGGCACGAGAACGCCGTTTCTTTAGAAAGATACCCAAGTCTCATCTTACGCTTTTTGACCGGGGCTCCCATTCTCTTTTTCGCAAAGTAAGAGGTCTAGCTATATTAATTTTTCACCTTTCGGATTCTCACTAGACATTACCCCATTCTAATCTCGGCCTCACCAAGGAAAAATAGCAATTTAAGCTCATTAATTTCAAAGTGAATCCATGCCTACAATGCAATCCTCAAAAGTATCATATTCCTAAAAAGTGACTGCTCTTACCCCATTTGGGGCATAGGAACAGTGCCAAAAATGGCTCCTACACACAATTCCCTAAACTTAACAAATTACTTCCTTAATTCCCTAAACATCAAAACTAAGTCAAAAATATTCACGGGTAAGGAAACAGGCCATTTGGCTATGGAGCTTAATTAATTGGGTAATAAAGAACGGTCAGGCTCAAAATGGCTTCTCCTAAAGGGTTCTTTCAGGTGGGGGTGGATGATTAATGGAAAATTCAATGGGTGACTAATGCCTTCATCCTCTCAACACTAGATTATAGTGCAAGCAATTTAAGCCTAAACACTTCAAAGATGTTCTAAAAGCATAGTCAAAACGCTAGCCAGCTCACAAAGACACAGTTTTAAAGAAACATTTTCAAAAATTTTGACATGAATTTCCTATGAATATACAACTAACACCTGCGCATGCTAACTCTAATAAATCTCATGTAACAACTACTGCCCGAATGCCCAATTCACTCCCCCACACTTAAACTTTGGCATCGTCCTCGATGACCAAATATGCATTATGTACTAGGGGTAAAGAGGAAAGGGTCACGCGTTCTCAAAAACAACTCAAGTTAACATTACGCATCGAGTTCAAAGAATCATGGAAACTCCCCTATCGCGTTGGTCAGTCAGGAACAGAACTGGGTCTTGATTCGCACGAACACATTCATCCACTAAGCTGCAACAAATCATGAACACAAAGCAAAACACAAAATAAAGAGTTAAGTGTAAGAGTGGGAGGTTATATATAGGAAAATGTGATCTAAGAGGTTATATATAGGAAAATGTGAGTCGGACCACGAATATATATGGATCTAATAGGCCCAACTACATGATATACAATTATACATCATAAAAGAGCATATGCATGTGCCGCGGCCGGTCGCCACAATCAGTCTTCCTCCTTCCCATCGGAATCTCACAGACGGTCGGTCATTCTCCAACATTCTCCATTGCAAAAACCACAAGCGCAGAAACCATCTAATCCATTCCAATGGCTTCAATTAACTTCAATCCTTTCAATAATATCGGGTTCAATAAACCTCCAAACCCTATTAAATTCATCGATTTCCACACCCTTATTGATTCTGTAAACTTATGCAACCAGCAATCAAAGAATTCTCCTTTTGCCGCTATCTCATTCGGCCTGTTTTTTTTTCTGGAAAGCCTAAGAAGGACGAACCTCCGGGGAAGTGCCATCACATGCTTGACCAGTTCTACTGGGAGTGCGAGAACCTGCTGGACTACCGGCACTCGCCGGAAGTAGAGAAGATTCTTAAGGAAGACCCGGTTTTCGAGAAGAAGGAGAACCCGACCGAAGAAGAGATTGGGGAGAATGAGAAATGGTTAACCGAATTGATGGAAAGCCCGGTTGTGCAGTTCTTGGCCCGCGCTAAAGAGATTGGAGATCAGCTTAATGAGGATGCACTCAAAGATAATTTAGCTCCTTATAAGAATGAAGACAAGAAATTGTGGGAGGCACTCCCTAATGTGCTTGGATTGGATGGAAGGCCTATGCCTAGGAAATCAATAAAAACAAAAGAAGAGTCAGATGATAAGTTTTGGGATTTCGCGCAACAATTCTTTTTTGGGCTATGGGGGTTTCGACAAAGGCCCATTGACTGTAACACCCCCAAATTTTCCACCCAAAAACATTGATATGTTTGAAATAAAATCTTTATTCATTCAATTGACGAAATACAGCGGAAATCCTGAAATAAGAAGGTGTTACTGCCACATCTGGCCAAACATAGTCGGATGCACAGGCCAAAAAAATAGTAATAGTTAATCTATGAGTTCATAACAGAAATAAAATGTTTATTCCAGACTAGGTTTAACTAAGGTATCTTCTAGAACGCCTGACGTGCACTTTGTCACGGTGCGTCAAAATAAATTCAATACTAGCACTAATACGTAGTATAGTGAAGTAGAGTTCGTATCCACAGGGAAAGGAATAATTCTCTTTTTATGAAGCTAGTAAATAAAAGGGGGGGTTTTTATGGTTGAATGATTTAATTTAATTAAAAACAAAGATGAAAGACTTATATGAGATTTAATTCAAGGGAAAAGGGGCAAAAACACCCTTATAGTTGTCATCAAAGGACATCTATGCCCTTAAAGTCTTTTTTGGTGCAAAAAACTTTAAAACACCTTAAAGGAGGGCAATCACCCCCTTCCTCACGGTAAACCAATGTAATCGACTAACGGAGATAGCAACGGTTAAAAATGCTCCTTTGAGCTTTCACGAATGGAATAAATTTACATTGTACGGAATATATGTTAACTATGTTTGTAAATTTGTTGATATATAAAATAAAATATAATAAAACAAATATATTACATATACAAGTACCGAATAAAAAGACCAAAAAATGAAATAATAATTATACATAAAGGTTATTAGCAATTAGAAAAAATACTCCATTAGAGCCCATTTGATATGGCAAAACCGAATTAGGTACTTAAATGCATATTATATTTTGATATAAATATTAATAAATACTCCGTATGAATAGTACGCAGCTAAATAATATAAATATTTCGGCAAGATATGATTTCAAAACTTATCAACCATTTTTTTTGTCAAACTAGGTTAAATCATCTACTTTGGTATGTAGTATATTTTAGCTGAATTGTGTAATAATAATAAAAAATGAGGTTGAAATTACTTTTCTGGTAATCAGTTATTTTATTAGTTGTTCCATCTAACTTTTTATTTATATTCCTACATCCGCCATCCTATTATATTGGGATAAAGAGGGAACAAAGCAATTATATATAAACAAAAAAAGTGAATTTGTATGCGCAGTATTGAATTGATAAAATGTGAATAAAGTCAGAATAAATTGTAATAGTCTAAATATTGTTTGATATGATATGCGACAAACTTAATGTGACAGACGTAAAATGTCAAGTGGGACAGATAGATCGAGGACGAATGAAATATTAATAAAATATATTCTAAATATAATATAATGTATACTACTAACAGAGTTTCTCCGGTAAAAAATATGACTAGTTATATTTTCATAAAAATGTATGACTAGTCATTGTGTACGAGTAGCTAGACAAGTGTCATTATAGTGTATTTCATAGTGAAAAGACTCTGATAGATAATGAGTTACTGAAAACTAGTTATTGAATATGTCACCTTTTTTATTTTTTGGAATAAATTGTTTTTTTTTGTCTTTTGAATTCGATTTAGTAATATTCACGGGAAAAGTCATGATATTCGAAAAATACCATTCTTTGAAATTATGTAGATTCAATTTAAGTCGATTCAATAATAATTTTATCAATTTTAGTATATTCAATCGCTTAAGTCCAATGCCACCAAACGGACTCTAATCATAATATAGAGAAATTCTTTTCTAATTAATAATACGTTTTGTATAATCTTTCTTTCATTACTTAATCTTTTTTTATGGATTATTGGTATTTCTAACCATTTAATTTATATTTTATATAGAAAAAGAACTGATTACATATTTATGACAAAAATAAAGATTGTTTACAAAAATGTAACTAGTGACTAGAGTAGTAATGAAATTATAATAACATACGTTCAATTTTTAAACTTAAGTTACCAAAACATCACGTTATAATAAGCAAATTTTATTTTGATAATATTTTTGAAAAAAAACTTTTATATAAAGTTCAACTAATTTACATAGCTTATTATATCAACTTTTATGTTACCTAGCAAATTCTATTACTCGTATAATAATATTTCAACTTTTATATCATTGTGGCAATGATATCGTTTTGGTGTTATCTCTTACTTTGAATTTTTTTTTTGGCGAACGTACTTTTAAAATTAAGATTCATTCAACTAATTTACAAGATTAGTTAACAAATAAAATTACGATACATTTCGTTGACTACTATTCGAAGGAGCAACTTAACGAGTTAACGGTTGCCAATTCTATTAAATGAGTTTACCGTTAAAGAAGGGTGTGTTTGCCCTCCTTTGAAGAATTCTAAAGATTTTTGCACAAAAGAAAACTTTAAGGGCTTAAGTGCCCTTTGTTGATAACTTTAAGGGTGTTTTTGCCTCTCCAGATTCTGATTTTGACACCCGAATCAACTCAATACTCGATCGGGTATTGCCTATACCCGACCGGCCGGGTATATGAAATATTTTTTCAATCTTCTTTTTATCTTGTCTCCTTGCACTTTCTTTGATCTTTTGGGGTCCAAACTTGATCCTTTGGATGATCTTGACCTGTTTTAAGCTCAGAATAATCCTAATCTAAACAAATTACATCTATCTAAGAAAATTAACTAATTACACCAAAAGTGTGTAATTTTCCAAACAACAACAAATAAAACTAGTTAAAATAGAAATAATACATAATAAAAATACAACTCTATCAACGCCCTCGGGCTCAAGCAGTCATCAATCAACTTTAGCATCATCACCTGTTCGCATATGGGGAACGGGACAAAACACATAAAGAATAAAAATTAGCGAAAGCTAAGTAAGTACTACCCAACCCCGTAAAATAATGTAATTTGTCACAAATAGTACTTATGAATATAACTCACACGTATCACTTTTCAAAATATGATTTATAGCTAATACACTCAATTTCTCTTTGAAAATACTCTCCATTGTCTATTTTCAAAACCAATATCATTACATCTCCTACTTTCTTTTAAGATGGGTGGTACTTTCGGGTACTATTGCCCGAAGCCCAATGAGTCGTTGTTATTTACGAACTCATCCCAGAATCCGGTTCCCATCACTCTACTATTGGAATCGAAACGACTACCTTAAGTGTGCACACCCCCTAAAAGGGATTCCAAGCCCTCCGAGTAGTAAGTCATCTCGAGTAGTCGGGACTCAGTCTACCAACTACTCCTCTATAAAATCAAGTGATTAGGAATTACTACTACTATGCCTGAGATCAATGATCCAAATGTCGGGTTGGCTACCGACCTACTACAACTGTACTCCAAGTAGTAGTAACCCTAATCACCCTCCACATTTGTCCGGATGTGGAAAACCGACACCACGGATTTCTCCCGGGTGCTCATCTCTTATGAAAATGTTAATTTTCATCTTAAAATGATATACTTCAAAATATTTCTCAAGTCTCCAAAAATATTCTCAATGGTATTTTAAAAATATTTAATACGTCATAACTCAACTATCTCAAATACTATAAATTTAATATAACTTCAAATAATGCATACTCAAAATTCACACTTTAATCACATAACACATAATAATCATATAATATGAGGAAAACAATTTTGGATCGGCAGAGAAACTTACCTCGAACTTCAAGTATTCTACTTAATTCTCTTCGCTCAGCTCAACCTCTATTATTGAAAATCCAAATTAATAACTTCCCAATTCGTAGTTTAAATCTCTTATCCTTTACCTAAATATTCTCCCTTTTTAGAATATTAATAATATATTTTATTCCTTATGTTCAATCGTATAATTAGCAGTCCATCTTACATTTTTTACTCGGTCCATCTTATTATAATAGTTCAATCAATCCAGTTTCAACAAAAAGTAATCGAAATCATATTTTAGTTTAATCGGCCATGCATTTTACCATTTTTACAAATTCTCAATTCGACTTTATCTACTCGTATAAAAGCTCCAATAGCGGTACAGAGGCTAAATTATTTTTATCCGATTAGAGTGACAACGTGAACGGTTCTTATTATTAACTCCCTACAGTAGCCGACTCATTATAATCTTAGTGAAAATATAGTAGTTGGATACTTAAGTTCCGATTTATTTCATTCATTTTATTAAGTCTCTAAATCTAATTAAACTGGCCGATTTATAGCTATTCTAAAATATTCGCTTTACTGTTCACTTACATTCGAAATGTCCACTACTTGGTACATCCAGATTCTACTTGTAATTGTTAAACAAACACCTTAAAGAATACCTATAACCATCCGAATAATTATACATATTAAAATACCCGAATTATTCTATAATACCATTAAAATATGCTAATTCCATTAATATTCTGCTTAATTTTATCTTTCGTACAACATTTGACCAACTTCGGTATTCAGCCTGATCGATTATAACAACAGTCGGCTCATATAACTTAGGCCAAATAATTGCTTTGCTAAATTTACCATACATAGACAATTTAATAAAATGATATATTAAAATTCTCCTAATTTTTTTTTTTTTCATTATTGTTTGATCACAAAACAGATAGTAGCTAGGGCTGTCTAGTTTGGTTATTATACTTTCGTCCAGTTAATGTTATCAGTATTTCTCGATTCATTTTAATATCCAGTTCAGTTATTTTAAAATCAGATTACTAATTAACGCGGTACGTCAAACTCACTCGATCGCCTCCTTCTATGATACGCCGGAAAAACGAAGAAGACGCAGGGCTGGCTTACCTCTACTGGCGACGGAAGAGCAGTGGTAATGTGGAGGCGACTTTCAGCAGTACTCCGGCAGCCTGGTTCTCACCCTCCCGGCGAGCTCTTACCTCCGTGGCGGCGTACAATCTTCTTCTCCGGTGAGGTTGTTCCGAACGAACTTCTTTCCTTCCAGCAGCGCTCGTCCCTCTCCCTCTCCCTCTCTTCCTCTCTCGTTTCTTTTTTTTGTTTGCGACGTAGGTCGTCGTTTCTTTTGGTGCAACGTAACTC